TATATTTAATTTTTACACGTTTTCTTTACAGTACCCTAAATTGTATTAAGTTTTTATTGCATTGGCCATTCAGACTTCGTTATATGGGATGGGCGGCTCTATAAAGTAAGTAAATAAATAAATAAATATGTTTTCTATTCTTTATTATGTGAACTGAAAATTCAGAAATATATCGATATATCTGGAACAGCACATAGTTTCTGGCTACCTATCTGGTGTATACCACCAGATCCACATATGAAGTGTTAAATTAATTACTTAGGCTCATGCCTATTTCACAAGAATCTTTCTAGACTAGCAGTTTGCACCTGAGTCAGACGAGGTTCAATAATATTCAAGGGGAGAAGGGGCACACTTTGCATTTTTGTGCCTATGTAAGGATTCCAGACTATTTCCCCACTTGACTCTTCCCCCTGGTTCAGCCAGTCTCTCTCCGACACCCTCCCCAATAAAGTAGTAATTGTTCTGGTGATCTAACTGAATAACATGTTCAGAGACATAAACATGGAGAATGTGTTTTTTTTTTTTTTTTTGGCAGCTTTAAGCAAAACTTAATTTTTACGCATCAGTGCAAATGATTGGATTCAGAATTAAGTGTGAAACTGGCTTTGGATCAGTCTGTATTTCCCATGTATCAATAATGGACGAAAGATCCTTGATCTTATAGATCATCTCTGTTGCAAGGGGTGCCATTTTTCAAATTCAACTGCTCATCAACTAAGACTGCCTTAACTACCATAAAGCAGATTTTGCCACCATCTGTATCCAGAAACTGCAGTTAGTGAAAAATGTAGAAGCTGAATCATTTGCAAATGCTAAGCATTAAGTCACTGGTGTAAAGTCAATATTTAGACTCTTTTATGCCTCTTTACTTGAATTGTACTGATGGCTGGTTTCATTTTGGTTAAATCTGATGTAATATTGTAAACGGTTATTGTAAAACTATATTTTTGCATGGGATCTGGCTATCCGAAAGGCCACATTGTTCCGCATATTCCTTCCCACATTCCAGGCATCATTTGAGATGTTACTTTTGATTCCCTTGGTTCATGAAACTAGGCACGCAGCAACAAGTTCTAGTACTTTTAGGGGCTTCATCCATCTTGTGGCAAGTTCTGTCAAAAGATATTTTGTCAGGACCGGAGAGCTGATTGCAGACAGATTGCCTGAACCGAGTAGGGTGACTTTTCTTTTAACATCGGGAAATCATGTAGATCTTTTCCATTACTGATCTCCTCCATATCCAGAGCCATTAACTATCTGCAAAATAAATGCTGCAAACAAATAGACCAAACTGGACTGACATCACAGCCATGGCAAAAATATAAATTCTAGTAAATAAAGCTTATATTAATAAGAACAAGAGTCTGGGGAAGTAAACATCCAAAGTACATATTCGGTGAATGTTTTTGCTTTATTTTCGTCATTTAATCTAAAATAAAGTTGTGTGAAATGTTCTCTGCAATGAGTACTTGGATGGGACATTTCTTATACAACCTGGTTAAGATATAATCCTGGATACACTGACTGGTGATTCTCTAGTTTGAGACTCACACAACATACAGTGCTGCCTGAGACAACAATAAAATAACATCAGTTACAAATAGCATATATAGAAATCAACTCAAATGATAATTGATAATCCTTCAAAGCTAGAAATGGAACTGTGTCCTCCACTCATCTGGGGATTAAAGATAGCTCAATGGATAAACAAAGACCACAAAAAACATTCCAGTTCTGTCTTCCAACAGCTTACTGCTATTCTATGTGATTTGCTCCTTTAAGTGGCCATCTCATCTTCATAATGTTAGAAAGACAGTGAATTCTTGTCAGACTTCTGCAATTCTATTCATATTGATGTTATTTTCAAGGCATCAAGATATTTTCTTTGATCAATTTTCAAGGAATGGAAAACCCTACCAAAAGAAAGCTAATGGCCTTTATCCTCTCTCATCTCAGGTCTGATTCAGCTGCAAAATAGCATCAGCTTCAACATGTGTTCAAGGAAAAAAATGCTATCCATGGAAAGAATAGAAATAACAAATAGGCACTGGGAAAGTATAAATGCTTAGTACAAGAGTTAACATGCACTAATCTTATCCAAAATGTTATTAAGAAATATGTGAAGTTATTATTAGCACTTTTAGGAAGCAAAGGCTGAGACTAAGACACTAATAAATATTAGGGCGAAGAATCACTTGGAATTATTGGAGTAAGATCATGCAAAATACATCCATAAACCCAATGACATTTCTTTTAAGTACTTTTAAGATAACCAGATATTGTGGGCTATACAAAGATAATCGTGTAATTTTAATTTTCTTTTATGAATACATGTCCTTCAAGCCTCACACTGCAGATCTCAGCTGAAAGAAAAATCGCAAATATGATCACACTTTCTGCATTGCATATCCATGTCAGGTATGTTCTCCATAGGAAATAACTACTAAACCTTGGTCTACAATAGTCTGCATCCAAATTAAAAGCCTCCCCATCTGTGGAAGTACTATACCCCAACGTTTCTACAAGCATGGCTATTGGTTTCCAAGTCTCTGGAAAGTGTGAATGGCTGACCTAGAAAAAGAATGTTTGTCCCATTAAAAAAAAAAAAAAGGATGGGGAAGGGAAAATGAGGAGGGAGACATCTTAAAATATTTAGCCATATCATTTTATCTCCAAGCAGATGACTTTTTTCTTCTGTGGGTAAAATGAAGACTGTCCATTCATCAAAAAAGTAACCAGTTGTGGTTATGTTATGTAACACATTCAAGAAGAAAGAGAAAACAAGCACCACTAGACCTTCCATTTTACAGGCTTGAATTGTTGAGGAGAGAGGGGGGGAAGGGAAAATGGGAAAAGGGAGAAAGAGAAAAGGGGGGAAAGGAAAAGGAAAGGAAATGGGGAAAAGCTTCAGCAACAGTTTTCCACTATTTTGAAGATACAGCATGCATGCATTTATAAAAGCCAATCACTGGGAAGAAATTACCTCCCATAAATACAAGTTCTTTTACAGTTATAAAAACATAATTCTTAACATGAAGACTTGCAGCCAATTAAAAAGCAGCAGCGGTTACAGGGAGATTGTATGCAGCAGAAGGACAATTTCCCCCCCCCCCCTTTCATTACCCCCAGACATTTTTTCCCCCTCCCCTTTCTCAGTTTTCAAAAAAAGGCAGGAGAAACCATTCAAGAGAATCCTGCACAGCCGAGGAGAGAAAGAAGCAGATACGCCAAGTCCCCCGCAGCATCACTTCCACTCTTAAGTTCAGATTTCCTTGAGGTCATTCTATGAGTCAGACAGAAGCTTTCCTGCTTCCTCGCTTTCCCTTTCCCCCCCACTTGTGAACTTTGAAAGAGTCATGAGATCCAAGTAGGACTCCCAGAAGCAATCGATATGTAGCCCCTCTCCTGAAGTGCAGGGAAAGTCCATACACATTGAACTTGACAGTACATCTCATTGCATTTTGCAGTAACCTCCCAGAATCTGTGACAAGAGGAAAAGGCATCAAAACCCTGAAGCAGACACAGAGCTGAGGGACGCATCAGGCTTAGACAGCAGATGCTGAGGTCTCTGGTGGCAGTGTGCCAGGTGGCCAACTGCTTGGCTTTATCCATTAAGAGAAGGCAGTGGAAAACAGTGTCCATAGACCAGTGTTAAAATAAGTTCACTGCCTGGAAGGAAGGGAAGATTGGAAATACCCTATATTTCACCCCAGGCAACAAAGTACAGCAAGGGCAAGGATGCCACTCACAGTGGGCAACAATAACTCTGCAATCCCAGACACGAGGTTTGTTTTGGAGAGGCGTGCAGAATGATTTTTCTGGACTGTATTTAACCAGGAAAACTAAAACCTTTCTAGAAGATACAGAATTATCTGAATTCTGTATCTGTTAGAATGCTGGATTTTGTAGTCCAGTGCATTCTGAGACTACTAGTTTGGGGGAAGAAAAACTTAAGACACAATATTGCACAGTAAACCACCTTTCCTTGTATAGGCATTACCAGGAGAGCTTGGTGTTTAAAAAAAAAAATACACAAAAGGCATTTCCAGTGTTTCTTTCTGCACCCCACCTCCACATTTTTCCAGATGTAAAAAACTGCATTACCCTCTGCCCAGTTCCTGCTATCCAACTTTGGCAACCTGCGTACAGTTGCAATCCTAAACGTTTAGATGCTCCTTCAGAAAAGCTTTAGGTCAGAGAAAAAGCTCACCAGTACAGCATTCACTTATGCCAGGGCTCTAGCGATAGCTAAGGCTACATTCTAAACGCGATAAATTCCTCTGAGCATGTACAGAATGCCCTGAACACGTCCATCACCAATCCGATAGGGAGGAAAACAGAGGCGAAGGGTTTCAAGAGGATAACTTCTGAGGTTTTGAACGCCTCCCTTTAAAATGCTTCTTTCGCATCTTAAAACTTAAAACTTAAAACATCTTAAGAGCCTTGGTAGTACAGTGGTTTAATGCACCCTGTTATTAACACAGCTGCCTGCAATTTCTGCAGGTTCGAATCTCACCAGGCTCAAGGTTGACTCAGCCTTCCATCCTTTCTAAGGTAGGTTAAATGAGGACCCAGTTTGTGGGGGCAATAAGCTGACTTTGTATAAATATACAAAAGTATGAAGGCTATTGCTTAACGCATTGTAAGCCGCCCTGAGTCTCCGGAGAAGGGCGGCATATAAATCAAATTAAAAATAATAAAAAAAAATAATAATAAAAAAACACCTTAATATCTAACCCGGTGCACAGCTGGGGTTTCTTCGGGTAGCAGTCCACCTCCCTCCCCTCTCCCCGGGCTGCTGCTTTGCTCAATTTTCTTCCCGGCTCCAACTCACCCTCTCCCCCACCTTTGCAACCCAAATCTGGGGGGTTTCTGCAACTGATCCAGAAAGCGTGCGCACAGGTGGGCCGTGGGCACCTCGAGCTTGGCGGCCAACAGGAGGGGGGGGGGAGAAAGAAAAAGAAGAAAGAAAGACCAAAGTTGTTTCCAACACTTACACGAAGACGCCGAAAAGCAGGACTCGAATCCCGATCTCGATAGCTAAATCCCGCATGGTTTAATAATCCAAGGCGAGAGGGCAGGATCTGGCGGGGGTAGGGGGGGAGCTCGAGCGGGGCGGCTGGCGGTGGCTTCACAGCTTCCCCGGGAATCCCACGTATCCTGGCAGAGCCGGGGGGGCGATGGGAAAAAGAAGCGCCGCCGCCTGGCCCCGGAGCCGCTCTTCTGGAGAGCCGCCTTCCCCCCTCCCGCCCGAGTGCCGCCGCGCTGCGCCCAGAGCCAGCGCCTCCGCCTCCATTCATTCCCAAGGCCGGCAAGAGCCGGGATGATTCAGGCCACCGCCTGCGCTCCTCCGAACTGCGGACAGGACGGAAGGCGCCGAGAGAAGCGCCGGATTGCGCTCGGCGGAGCGGAGCCGATCTCTTCGCCGCGCCACTCGGGGCGCCTGCTCGCCTGTTCGCTCGCTCGGTTGGTTGGTTGGCTGACGGGCTGACGGGCGGGCCGACCCACCTGGGCTTCCCTGCTCGGGTGGCCAGAGGACGGAGAGCGGAGGCGGAGGCTCCCGTGGCTTTGTAGCGCAAGCTGGGCTGAGGGGATCCTGGGGGATTTCCATGCCCCTCCCCGTCTGAGAGACTGACTATCTGTTGCCGGCGCTGTACTTAAAAACTCTCTTAACTCCGGCACGTTTCGCTCTTACGACGGCTGCCCCTGCTGGTTTTCTTCCACCTTCCCTTTCCTTTTAAAAAAAAAAAAAAAAAAGCCAGAATCAATTTTCAGAAACAACAACAACCGGGGCTGGCAAGAGATTTTTCTCTTGGTTGCGGTTGGGATGTTGTTACTGTTGTTGTTTTTAATCTCTAAAAGCTACAATGGCAACGCTAAACCTGCTCACCTGGACGTCACGTCACCCATTGATATTTCGGGGTGGGGAGGGGGGGTACCTGTCTATTGAGATAAAAACAAAGGCGTCGCTTCCTTCCAGTCTGTGGCAAGGAGGCTTGTTTCCATAACAGCCCGTTCAAAGGCAAAGAGAGCAGACGGAGCAGTTTTTCTTACGAATCTGGTATTGCTAAGTGGGGACGGGGTGAAAATTTGATAATTTCTAAGGCTTCCCTTAGTGTTTTCCCAACACACTTTAATGACCTTCTGTTTGTGACCCATATAAAAATGCTGTTGTTTTTTATTTTAAAAAAAGGGGGGGACTGTAATATTTTTAATACCCCCAAAACTGTACTATGTTTCCCTGAAAATAAGACCCTGTCTTATATTTTTTTGAACCCCGAAATAAGTGCTTGGCCTTTTTTTCTGGAGAAGTCTTATTATTTGGGGGCGCATGGAGCAAGATGGGGCTCCTCTTGCCATCTTACCTGATTTCCAGCTCTGCATTTAATTATTTTCAGGGGCAGGCTTATTTTAACGCATGCGCTGAAAAGCCTGATTGGGCTTATTATCAGGGGATGTCTTATTTTCGGGGAAACAGGGTATTTAATATTTAATATCTATATTATATTTATATTATAAATATAAAGGGATGCGGTGGCTCAGTGGCTAAGACGAGGAGCTTGTCAATCGAAAGATCGGCAGTTCAGCATTTCGAATCCCTAGTGCCGCATAATGGGGTGAGGTCCCGTTACTTGTCCCAGCTTCTGCCAACCTAGCAGTTCGAAAGCACGTAAAAAATGCAAGTAGAAAAATAGTGGGAAGGTAATAGCGTTTCATGCGCCTTTGGCGTCTAGTCATGCCAGCCACATGACCACGGAGACGTCTTCGGACAGCGCTGCCTCTTAGGCTTTGAAACGGAGATGAGCACCACCCCCTAGAGTCAGGAACGACTAGCACATATGTGCGAGGGGAACCTTGACCTTGACCTTTTTATTTATATTAGATTTAATGTTCTGTTCCATAACAAGATTTTAATACCATTTTGATCACCCAAAACCACCTCTGAGATTTCAAGTGATGCGCAGCATTTTCTACATGGAATTCATCTGAGCCTGGGTCCACATCCCATTTATTAAAACTTAACTTCAGCATTGGGTTAAATATATTACTTAGGTTGGACATGGGGGAGGGCGGCTGCTTTTGTTTGTTTGCCTTGTTGACAAGAGATGAGAAACAAGAGAAAGAGAAACATTCTCTTTCCAAAAACAACCTACTGGCTGAATTTCCTTAATATTGATAGAGCACTTTATCACTGCTAAACCTCTTCATATTTTGTTTACTTAAAGCTTGAAATACTTGCAATTGCTACTCGTGCTTTAAAAGTCAAGGAAATTGTAATTTAAGAAAGCAATCTTAAATATCACATTGTTTTAAGATGAAAGGATTGTTTGCTCTCAGGTTCACTAATGGCTTTGATGGTCAAGATCTGTGCAACAGTTTGCCTTGGCCCCTGTTGAATATATATTTGATTCAACTGTAAAAGACATAAAGCTCCCTCCAGATTCCATCTGTTATATTGCTTGTCCAAGCAGAAACCTGAGGGATTTCTCTATGCCGCATTGTGACATATAGCACTGCATGAATTAATCATAAAAATATATTAATCAATATAAAAATCAGACTAAAGAGACCTCAAGCTGGTGACTTTGGGCCTTTATCCATCAGACATACAGTAATTAATTGTCAAAATGGAAAATGAAGATTGAGTCTGAAGGAGGCATACCTAAGTCTAACAAATACCTGTAATAAGTAAGGTGTTATTGAATCGGGAACAAAACCTGTCCTTCATTTCATTCAAGAAATGGATTTTATGCAGACATCAATTAATCTTTTTAGTATAAGATTAATATATAATAAAATATATATTAACATATAAAAATATTAGTGGATGCCCGTGCTTTGCTACGAAACTATGTGGTCGGGCTTGATAAATTGACACTTACAGCCTGAAACTTAATGTAGAATGTGTAACTCGTAGCATCAGAGTGTGTTAATATAATGCAACTGGCAATAGGAATAGAGGAGGGGGAATAGAATGTCCCATCCAGCAGCATCTATTGGTATTCATCTGGCTAGCATCCTGTCTGTGTGTGAGAGAGTTGAGGGGTGTTGGAAACTCAAACAGTATTTGCTGTGTGAGCAAGGAGACAGGAAGAAGCCTGGGTGCGGCTTAGCTCAACTGTTCTGTAGTAAAGCTGCTTTCTGTTGTGAAAGTAAAACTGGTCTCCTCTGCTTGTGTTTTGCATTTGGAACAGATTTCTTTTGAGGTGGGGAGGGGGAGTAGAACTCCTTAGCATCAGAGGGCTGTTTGGAAAGTGAAACAGTATTTGCTGTGTGAGCAAGAAGGAGACAGGAAGGAGCCTGGCTGTGGCTTAGCTCAAGTGTTCTGTATTAAAGCTGCGTCCTGCTGTGAAAGTAAAACTGAAAGTGAAACTCCTCTCCTCTGCTTGTGTTTTGCATTTTGAACAGATTTCTTTTCAGGTGGGGTGGGGACAGAACTCCTTAGCATCAGAGCATGTTAATAATAATATACTAATGCTCTGATGGTCATTTTGAAAAATACTTTCTTAGTGAGCACCTAGAAGCCAAGAGGAACATATGTGGCAAATTTCAAGTTTGTAGACTTTACGGTTCTGGAGATTTCGTGATTATGGCGTGAGTGGTTTTCGCTTTTATATATATAGATATACTTACAAAATAATAAATATATTTTATTATTTGTACCAAAACCAGTCCAGTACAAAAATTTCAATTTCAATTTAATTCAATTTATATGCCGCCTCTCTCTGAAGACTCAGGGTGGCTCACAATACATTTAAAATCCTAATAAAAAATAACCTGACAAATTCCAAAAAGTAACATTAACAATTTAACAGCTTAAGTCATGGTATCCTTCTGTTAGCAAGGCTGGGTATGACATATTTTTATGGCTAATTTTTATCAATTAATGCACATACGACATTATGCCAAGGTTGCTTTTTGTAGGGTTATACACATGCAGTCATGACTGAAAAAGAAGAGGGAAATGCAAATTAAGGAAAGAAAATTCATAAACCACCTATTAAATCAGTATGCTATTAATTGAACTAATCTAGTACTTGTGTCATAGAGTCGCCAAACAAATGCATTCTAGAAGCTTACATATATGGCCAGGAAAATGCCAACCTTTTTTCACTGTCACTTCCTAGCAGCTGATACTTAAAGCATGTTGCACACTCTGTTTATTCAACCCTAGAATTAATTTTTGAAATTCTCTTGCCTCGACTACAGATAAAGATCTTTAGTCATTTAAAGGTCCACGGGCTTTTGAGCAGGTTAAATCTATGAGACAATGAAGAGAAACTCACATGGAATCAGAAAATATCACTGATACCTATCAGAAGCGTTCTGGTTCAGGTCTAATTTTATCCTGTATTTATGACATGGAAAAGGAGATAACATTAAACTTCACTGATGTACAATCTTCTAAAAATCCCAGATAAAAGTAATCATGATAGGCTAGTCAACTGAAAATCCTGACATAACCTAAATGTTGTCTAATTGGACAGTTATTTTCTATTCCAATTTCTTCATCTAGGAAGCTTTATGTAAAATTCAAAGGACGAGGCTTTAAACTTTTGTGTTGAAAGTCCAGGAATATCTACCTTAAATCATACTGGAGGTGACCTGCATCACAAGAAACAAGTGTGCAATCAAGTAGTTATATATATTGCAGTGGTTTAAAGACAATTTTCTCTACTAAAGCAGTGAAATGGGGAATACAAGAAAGAAACAAAATAATATTAGAACAGACGAAATAACTGAAATAGATATGAACATAAGCCTTGGACTTCTGTGGGAGGTATGGCAAATTGAAGAGGAGCAGATGCCTGTGGCAAACACCAAGAAACCAGGTTCTTTCAAACTGCTTTGGATAAGGGGATAGGGGATTGCCACTTATGCTCCAGTCGGCTGTTGCCCACAAAGAGACAGCAGGACAGTGGTGTTCTACAGCTTTTGAATGCCAGGAAATGATGGGATTAGCCATCACACTTGCAACCACAACAGAGACTTTTAAAGGGCACTAAGTTTGCAGACCTCATTTTCTAATCACTTTTAGAAATTGTTCATTAACCAACTGCTAAACTATTAAGACATCTTTGGCATGACAAGTTTGAAAAAGCAAGGTGAGTATCCCTTTAATCCTAAATGAAAGAAAGCTTTAATTATAAATTTAAGTATTTACGGAATCTAAAGTAAACAGGAAAAAGAAATAGGATCTTGATCTTATCAAGTTATAAATAAACTAAGGTCCAAATAAAATTGGAATATTGAAACCTTTACAATAAGATGTTAATATTAATTATAAAGTAGTCACAGTTTATTGTGGGAAATAGATCCTATTCCTGGTTTTTACAAGACACAACATAAATTATTTCATCATTTCAAAAACTGGACAGTAGAGGGACTGATTTTAGGCAGGAGAACATATGCAAGATGGTTATGACAATAAAAATACTAAAAAAAGATTTTTGAAGAATGGAATCAGAAAATAGTAGCCAAATCTCAACAATGTTAACAATTATGTCTGGTTATGTGGACAGTCTATGAACAAAAGATATGATTAAAGAAGTCAGATATAGAACAAATGTTATC